TGAGTCTGTCGGATACAAATGCATATTGTGTAGGGGATACTATATCAGGAAGAAAAGGTTTAAGCCTGGAAGCTAGGATCTTGGAAATGATTTTGTAAAGGACGGAACAAAGGCTTATAGGACGAAGGTCAGACATTATAGATGGATGCGGTTTCTTAGGGATCAAAACTAATTGAGTGTAGTTCCATTCCTCTGGCATAAGTCCAGTATCAAAAAATGAGAGTACGTCTCTAATGACTTGTTCTCCAACAATTTCCCAATAAGATTGAAAGAAGAAACCTGACATACCATCAGCTCCCGGAGCACTATCTGGCTTAATGGAGAAGGCTGCCTCTTTAACTTCTTCAGGGGTGATTTTTGATATGAGGGAGTGGTTCATATGATCAGTGACTCTGGAGGGTAAGCCATAAAGTATAGAGAAGTAATCTTCTGAGTTAGAAGATCTGAAAAGAGTTTTAAAATAATTGATCGCAACTTCTCCTTTAGAAGCCTCCGATCTACGAGTAGTACCATGGCTGTCTACTAGCTTAACCACATGGTTTTTAGCCCTTTTTGTTTTCACTGCTGCGTGGAAAATTTTGGTGTTGCAATCACCATGAAGAATCCAATCATCCGTACTCTTGTTTTTCCAAAAATTCTGTTCATCTCTATAGGCCAATAAGAGATCTTTTTGAGGTTTTGTACCTTAGAAAGGGAGGGATTATTTGATGATTCTTCAGCTTCAAGTTCCTCTTGTAATAACACTATTTTTTCCTTGGAGTTGGCTTTGTTGTCTTTTTTCCATAAACTTAAGGCTTTTCTACAGCATTTGATCCGGTAAGAGACAGAGGCATTTTGGTTAGTGGATGTATTCCAGGCTTTAGAAATTGTTTCTTTGACCAGAGGTTTGGCAAAGAGCCTTTTATCAAAGAAAAATGATCCTCTGTATGTGTCTTGACTTGAGAACATTTTAAGTAGGACAGGACGATGGTCTGAATCTCTCTTAGCTAGAAAGGCTTGATTAGAAGCTGGGAAATTATTAAACCAGTCAGATTTTCCAAAAGCTCTATCTAGTTTACTTTGGATCCAGAGTTTGTTTCTTCTTCCTCCCCATGTAAAGTCATTGCCCGTACTAGGTAATTCAGTCATATCACAAACTTGAAGCATATTAGTAAAGGGTAGGAAGGAAGCATCACTTCTTCTTGGTCCACCTATTTTTTCTGAGTTATTGATGATTTCGTTGAAGTCACCAATCATACACCAACTGATCTTCCAGTTTAGACCCCATCTAGAGATACGTTCCCAAACATAATTCCTATGAGTAAAGCAAGGATGACCGTAAACACAAGACAAATAGAATAGCTTATCTTCATACTGAACTTTTACATCCAAAATATTCTTGTCCGCATACAGAAGAGAAACATCAACACAGTTTTTCCAAAAAAGAGCAAGACCCCCACCTACTAGAACAGGGTCTACTGTGTACAGATGATCATAACCTAGATACACCTTGAGATCTAACAGAGTATTATAACCGTTCATAGTTTCCATAAGAAAAAGCATCTCAGGAAAATAAGTCCGCCTTAGTTCCAGGAGACGCTGAACTGTCAGCTCATGAGGAAGTCCCAGTCCCCGACAGTTCCAACTTATGATACTCATTTAACTATTCGACGGTCCCTCCCGGGGGACCATCCTTGTGGTGTCGTTCTTTGCAAACTTGGAGACACCGGCCAAATCTTCTTCTGCCTTTCTTTTCTTGTTTGGGCTTCCTTCATTACTGGTAGTCTCTTCCTGCTTTCCTTGTTTTGGAGATTTCTTCGAGTGGATGGAGATTTCTTGTAGCGTCCAGGGCTTCTTTTTGCTTTTGCCTTTGTTGTGGGAGGGTTAAAGATGGGGCTGTCCTGAGGGGGCATTGCCTGAGGGAGGACATGATCTTGAGTTGATTGAGGGGTTAAGCGACAGAAGACACTTACCGAGTTAGAGATACTCTGAGCTGCTGAGATTGCTGAGGCCATGAGCTTTGGTTGAGAGCTAGCAAACTTGTTTTGTAATTCAACATCTTCCTTTTCATACCCAAACAATATTCCTTTGCCTTTGTCTAGATCTTTTGTAAAGATTGGTGGTTGAGCGAGTTGTAACACTGACCTTTGAGTAGAGGGAGAAGCCTCAGCTTCTTTGACCGATGAGATTACTCTTTGTTCTCTAATATGTTTATCTTCTTGACTAGACGCCAGAAGGTAACGGCGCATTTCTTCTAGAACTTCTGGAGCAATGCGAGGTCTTCCTGAGAGTGGGTTGATGCCAACTTGATTCTCCTTAAGAACACCAAAGAGAGGGTCTTGTTCAGATAGGACCTTCTGAGCTCTAGGGTATTGAGAAAAGGACATGCATGCAGAGGACTGTGGCTGGAAATCTTGAGTATCCCTTAGAAAAGGACATCTAGGCTTTGCATGTGTGAGTCTTTGACATTGATTGCATCTCTTTTGTACTCGTTCATAGAAGTAATAGATTGTTGTGCGCTCACCACCAGGGAGGTTGAGAATACGGAATTTCTTGAGGGGCTTGGAGACATGGATCTTGATTAGAACACGAACATAGTCTTGTCGATGCGACTTCTCAGGATCAAAGGCTACCTCGACAACATGACCTATGAGTTCTCCGAGATCCCAAATTGCATGTTTGGTGTAGTGGTTGACAGGGATGTTGCTGATTCTAACCCAGATCTTGACGTATTGCAGGAAGTCAGGAGAGGGTTTCTCACTCCATCTTTCTATGGCTAGACCCCAGTCTTGAGAAGTGTGGAAGCCCTTGCTAAGAACGTCTTCAAGATCGCGTTCATGCATGAATACAAACTGAAATCTTTCTTTAGTGAGAGCAAGACCTCTGACGGAGTTGACCTTCTGCCACTTCCTAGGCATGTCCAGTATTAAGTCTGCAACTTTTTGGAATTCAGGGTTGAGAATACGACTGATGAGGCTGCATGTGTTTCTTTCAGTGGCGAAATATTGTGGGAGATCTGGTAAATCAAAGGGGGAGTCATCGTCATCATTTAGAGTGAGAGATAGCATGGCTAGATCCATTTCAGAAGACATAGTTGAGAGAGGTGGTTTGATAAGTATGGTTTGAAGAGAGATTTGGAAGAAGATAAAGATATTTAGTTGCATGGATGAGATCAAGAGAGAGTTATAGAGCTATATAATCAAGGTAGCGTAAGGAGAAAGTGTAATGATGATGTCGTGAGAAGGTGGAGAGCCTTCTTGTTTAGATAACCAAGAAGGAGTACAAAGCTCTAGGAGGATATCCTAGAGAGAAGAGAGAGCGAAACGCGTTGAAAATGATATTTGGTTACATGTTTTGATGCATTTCAATCTTGTATATCAAGCTTATGTACTCTCTTGTAATTTATGCAAGATATATATATAGTGTTTAAAAAAAAGGAAGCTCTAGAGACGAATGTATTGTTCATATCAGTTTGAAACGGCGAAGAAAGTTTTCATTTACAGGTATTATGTTTTAGGTAGATAATGGGCTCAATAGTGAGCTAATGCTTAAAGCCTTATAACCAAATAATAACATGCGACGAATTCAAAATCTGAGTAGCTTGTTCCATTCCCCAAACTTTTTTGGATAAAATGTTGCTGACAGGTCAACACCATATTGGCTGGAATTAAAATGTGTATGTGGCATACTTCTCCTTTGATTTTTTTGTTTGGACAACTTCTCCTTTGATCTTATTCTCTTTTTAACATAGTAAGATGGTAGAATTAGGATTTTACAGTTTTGATGGGAAACATGATTTTCACGATTTGATGATAAAACATGATTTTCTTTTTTAATTTGGTAGTAAAATTGGTTTTTGTGAGGAAATTAGATTTTGTAGTTTCAGCAAGAAGCAAAATTGTGCGGTTTTCATGGGAACATAATTTTCACGGTTTTGACATGAAAATATGATTTTAATTTTGGTAAAAATTACCATTTTAGAAAAAATACAGTTTCGGGGTTACAAAAAACAAGTGATTGTGTGTTTTGATGAAAATTAAGATTTGATGGGTTTCGTGAAAAATATACTTTTTAATTTGTACAGAAAACATCCCTTTTCTGGTTTTCATGAAAATATAATTTAATAATTTTATGAAGAAATCATGATTTTATGATTATTATTAGAAAATTTTTTTTTTTTTTTTTGAGAGAAAACATATTGTATTACGGTTTTTGCAGAGAAAATCAGTTTTGAACTTTATTAAAAATCACTAATTTATTTTGGTTGAATTGTCGTTTTGTAACATATTATTTTAAAAGTCTTCGTTTTGTGACATATTGTAAATGCTATAATGCAAAATTAATTTATTTTTTTATTATATTTTACCTAAGTAAGTTTAGACTCTTGTGAACAACTTATTATGCGAGCTTCATTTTGCATCAAGTTAGCTTTTGTGTATAAATTTATTTTTCGAATTGACAAAACTGAACAACAAATTATAACTGCATTTAGATGCTGCGTTTATGGGTGATTAAAAAAGATCTTATATCTATGATAATTCCAAAACCCTTGTGATAAAGAAAATCTAAGAATTAATAAAATATATCTTATATAATAAATCTTACTTTTCTCTTTTCTCATGCTGCCACATCAGTAGAGAGCATGGGGCAAAAAAAGAGACGTCAACAATTAACCATTGAAATCAAACCGAAATTGTTAAGTTCTCGTGTCTCGGTTTGTAGTTCGCTTATTATACCGGTTTTCTTAATTTTAAGATGTTAGGCTGGGCGTGTTAACGAGATAAGTGAAAGGCCTACTATTTTTGTATGTCATTTTCCGTTCTTTGGTAAGTTCAGAGCAAGCTGCCTCCTCTAGGAAATCGCCGCAGAAAGACGATCTCTACACCGTAACATCTCAGCTTTCCGTTAATTCTTTATTAACTCTGACCTTTTCATCTTTATCATAGTAAAAACCATTTGCTTGATCTCTTTGATTCTCACAGAAAACGTCCGCAGCTGGATTATAAATACTTCGGTCTCCAATGATGGCGAGCGCATCTCAAACGCTCTCGAACAGAAACTCACTTAAACGATTACTGCTATGGCGGACTCGTACACTCTCCTTGCTGATTGGAAGGCCAGCAATACTCAACAAGGCGGAGGTCCGACTACTCCGGTTTTGGGAGGCAAGAAACACCAACAGGAACAGCAGCCGATCCGGAGAACTAATGAGTCTTAACAAGTTGTTGATTGATGAGAATGTAAGAACATTTAGTTCCGGTTAAGTCTCTCCAGTATATGTTCCTTCTAAAATCGTTTCCCTTTGTTTAGATCTGTAAAAGGTCTACGTTCCTTTTCTGTGAATTATATAAGAAGTCTTTATTTTAATTACCGAAACAGTCAACGCTGATTTTATTCTCTGCAATATTCGTTTCTGATTAGATCGATCCCTTTACTTAATCGTATCCTCGCAATAAATTTTTTCGTTCTCTCAAATATACGTTCCTTATGATATCGTTTATTTATATTTAGTAACTCAAATTTTATTTTTTAACAAACAGTCAAATCTCATGCAAGCATCCATTGCTGCGGCTCAACATGTCAGATTCAGGCAGAGTCTCACAGAAGGTTCTTTCTACAGTCTAGCCGGGTTTGATATCACGCGTAGCAACCCAAAATACTGGCTATCTGATGCAGCCCTCTCCGTACGGTTCAATGATGGAACTTTGTTTGAAAAGCTTACTACGGCCGTTAGGACCATATCCACCGAGCTCTTCCGGATCCGATGACCTGTACCAAACCCGCACCGATAAAACCGGGTCGGAACGGGTTCGGATCTTGCCAAAAAAAACAAATGGGGTTGATTATTTGGTATAGTGGGTTATGGACCGGTTCGGGTAAAATACCGTGATCCAATTGGGTTTTAAGTATATCCGAGATAAAAACCCTAACACTCTATCTTTCCCGTTTCCCCTCTTAGATTTAGGATGCGATATGAAGAATATCCTAAAAATCTCAACGTTCTCTCTCGAAAAATCTTAATCTTCCTAAATCCCGATACCCGAAATCATTTCCTAACACTTATCCTTCTCGAATCTACTCTGTAAGTTGTAAACCCTAGAACATCTTCTCTTATATAAGTGTTTGATATGGAGAAAGAAATCCATCAAAAAGTATTCACCTCCTTCCTCAAAGACGTCAATAAAGCAATCAGAGGTAGTCTCCTTCTTCTTTGAACTTGATTAATTAGTATTAAGTTTTGTTATTTCTGGTTCGTATGAATCTCTGTATTTCAAGTATTTTGGTTTCTCTTTTACATGTTCATGTCTTGTTTCTTACACCTTCGTACTTGTATTTATGTGTTAGTCAGTAAAATAATTTGTTATGCCTTACTTCTTTTTGATGATTGTCAACTCGTGAATATCAGTAACTGATTTGTTTCTTTACGTGTTGTATATTTAATCATATATGTTGTCAATTTGTTGTAGATAAAAGCTTGTCTTTATGTTTGTTCTGTTCTGATGATTGTCTAAAGGAATCAAAGGATCGTATGTGACACGGAGTTTATAAAAACCGTAGCTTCGTTTTTATATCTTTCTTAACTTCTTTCTTGAGATCAACTTACATTCTAGATCTCCTTATATAATAAATAGGAGTACTTATCTTTTCCTATTACATATTAGACTAGGAAACTTGGCTTTATCCTAATCTTTATTTGTTATTCTACTTATCTTAATGAATAACTTGTTTCCTAAGTAACCTTAGTTGAAGCTTATCCAACATACTCCCCTCTAAGCTTCAACTTCTCTTCACTCAAGTCTTGTACGTGAATCCGTTCTCTCATCTCTTTGAACTTGAGTCTTGCTAAAGCTTTAGTTAGGATGTCTGCCTTTTGCTCTGTTCCAGGTACATGCTCAATCTCGATCTCATCTTGCTCCACTCGTTCTCTAATGAAATGAAACCTCTTATGGATATGCTTGCTTCGACGGTGGAAGACAGGGTTCTTTGCTAGTGCTATGGCTGATTTGTTGTCAACACGAATCAGAGTCTTCTTTATAGTTTTCCCTGTAATCTCACTAATCAAATCTTGCAACCAGATGGCCTGCTTGGCGGCTTCAGTTGCAGCCATGAAGTCTGCTTCACAGGAGGACAGGGCTACTGTATCTTGCTTCTGCGAACACCAGGTAATTGGTGTTTCTCCGAGACAAAACAGATGTCCTGTCGTGCTTCTACCGTCTTCTGGATCAGAGTTATGACTGCTATCACTATATCCGATAAGCTCCTTAGATCCTCCGTGCTTGAAAGACAACCCATACCCAACTGTTCCTTTCAAGTACCTTAAGATCTGTTTTAGTGCATTGCCGTGTGATATCCTTGGAGAGTGCATGTATCGACTTAAAATGCCAACAGAGAAGGCCATATCAGGTCTTGTATGCATAAGATATCTGAGACAACCAATTCTTCTTCTATAGATCGTTGCATCAATCTCTGGCTCTGTTAATGCTTTGGAGAATTGTAGACCAAACTCCATTGGTATATACGTTGAGTTACATTCCTCCATTGCTGCTTCCTTTAGTATGCGTTGAGCATAAGCCTTTTGATCTATCATAATACAACTTGAATGCTGTCTTACTTCTAACCCAAGATAGTAGGTTAATAAGCCTAAATTAGACATCTCAAAGTTGCTTGACATATCTGTTGGGGTCAAAATCGGTACGACGGAATCAATAGCCAAAATTCCCCGCAAACGCGTAAACGCAACAGTTTTATGAATCTCGAGAATCATTTTATAAAACTCGAGAATCGTTTTATAAAACTCGAGAGATCGTTTTATAAAACTCGAAGATCGCTTTATAAAACTCGAGAGATCATTTTATAAAACTCGAGGATCGTT